TTTTTTTTTGAGTTGGAGTCTCACTCTGTCGCCCAGACTGGAGTGCAGTGGCCGCTCCCGGCCACCGCAGCCTTGACCTGCTGGGCTCCGGCGATCCTTCCGCCTCAGCCTTCCAAGTAGCCGGAATTACAGGCATGCGCTACCATGCCCGGCTGATTTTTTAAATTTATTGTAGAGATGAGGTCTCGCTGCCCAGACGGGTCTCGAACCTATTATTACAATTTTAATACAGTTTTTTTCATTCTTAAAATATGTATACTTTTTTTGGCACCCTCTATATTTTGCTGCAAGTATAAAGAAAGAAAGAGTGAATGAAAGAAAGAAAGATAGACCGGGGAAAGATGGTGATGGGATGAGTAAGGGAGAGACAGGTGTCAAGGATGAAAAAAAGTAAACCACAGCTCCTCTGGCTTGAAGTACTTCCTTGGCTGGGCAGAAGAGTTAACAGACAATCACAACACGCGTGGTAGATACGGCAGCTTCCTGTGCCGCAAAGCTAACATGGGTACAAAATCCATGCCTCACAATAGCCTCCAAATAGACCTTTATCATCTGCAATTCCCAGAGACAAACATTTAAGACATAATTATGGGTTTGGATTTCTTAAAACAAGTCTCAAAATGAACACTGCCAGAGAATCAGCAATGAGTAATAAAAACTACAGGTGTATACACTATTCCCCTCCCAAGGTAACCTCAAAGGTCAGACAGCAATGCAATTGAGTGGTGGGCTGGGGAGAAAACAGATGTTTTCTGGCCATTAATACAATTTTTCCAGGATATAAAATCCCTTTGTTGTTTTATAATTCTCAGTATGCCTGGAAACTATTGCTACTGAGGAGATCTCACTTTTGAAACGTTCTTTGAAGCAGTAAACAAGTCATAAAGAGCTTTGATATCCTGATTGAAGGTACATTTTCCTCTACCAACAAACGCCAAACCTTTCTCCCCCATTGCAGGGTTTTATAAATAGTGAACATCTGTTTACGGATGTTCTTGGGTTTTGTCGGTAATACATTAATGCTCTTCCAAGTAAGTCTAAACCATTCTTCATGAAAAGGACAGAAAACAGAAATCCCTCTTTTCCTGACATATTAACCCATCCTCACAGACTTTTCTGAAAACTCCTGGAATGTCCTTCTCACCACTGACTATATATTATCGGAATCTCTGATTTATTGTTAATTTTTTTTGCCCAATGTGTCAATTCAAAAGTATGATTTCCCCCTTTATTTACTGAAATCTTATCAGTTGTCCCATTTGGCACAAGTTATCTATCTAGAGTCTCCCTGCTGCCAACAATGAATGAAGACCACTGCCAAGATCCCACTGAGTGCCCTGTGATGGTTCTCTATTCTAAGACTCCTCCATTAATGTAGTTCTTCCTTTAGGGTCTTGGAAGGAACCAATTATGTCATTCAAACCTGAAGATCAGTAACTGATAAGACTTAACTTACTCATTAAAAAATAACTGAGTGTCTACTATGTGTTAGATGTTTGGAACTCAACAATGTGTAACCCAGACAAGGATTCCTTCATGGAGCTTATTTTTGTTTCTTATCCCAGAGGTTTCTGACCTTTTGTGTGTGTGTGTGTGTTTTGTTTGTTTGTTTTGAGTTGGAGTCTCACTCTGTCACCCAGACTGGAGTGCAGTGGCTGCTTCTGGCC